CAGCAGGCTCTGCTGGGGCAGCAAGAGGTGTGTATCTGTTGCTAAGCTCCAGCAGGGCAGGGGCCTTGGTGCGGCGGGCCTTAGGGCCCTTGACCACCTTGGTCCATGCCCCTGACTGGACAGAGTGGGAGGTCCCAGAGTCCTCCCTTGTCGTGGAGGAGGACCATGGTCTACCCTCTGGCTCCCAGGGGAGAGACTCCTACTGCCAGGCCTATCTCCTGCTCGCAGTCCCTGATGGCGTGCAGTCTCTGGACTGTGGCCTGGAGCTCCTCCAGCTGGCGCGCCAGAGACCCCAAAAGGGAGCAGACCCCACACAGGGGGGTGACCATGCTCCCAGCCGCCAGAGCCTGAAAAAGGGACAGGCAGCCCGTGCAGCCAAGAGCCAGGGGCTCCGTCTGCGTGGAGCCCGGGACCATGGACTCCATCTGCGTGGCCGTCTCTAAGGTGCCAGAGGGGGGTGCCACAGAGCCTAAGGGGACCCGCGGGCTGCGGCATGTGCCCATTGGTGTCATTCCTCTGGTAGGCTGGCTACGGCTGGAACTGTCTACCCTGGGGGGGTTTGCAGGCAGGGTCTCGGGCCCTCCCGCACTCCCTCCTGGGCGAACTCTGCGCTAACTCACGCACCAGCAGACAACTTTCTGGAGTTGTTTCTCTTGGTAATTGTGTGGTGTTTCTTTTGCCATCTCAGATTACAGTGTAGTGAGGGCCATTCAAAACTGTGAGGCCATCCAGACACTGATCTATTTCTCCTGCAAGCCAGATGGAGAAGCCATGAGGAACTTCCTTGAGTAAGGAGGAGCCTTTTCCATTTGTGTCTGTTGTATGAGTAACAAATGTCATGCCCAGAGGGAAAAGGCACAACAAAGGGATGAAACTACCTGGGGAAGTTTTCATTCTGACTGAGTGTTTGGAGCAATTTATGTAGGAGTTGAGCCATCTCTCCCAGCCTGTGGCCAGAAGTGGTTACGCTTCTGTGCCTGCTTTTGTTTTTATTGAGAAGGTGTTCACCAGTAAAAAGCTACACATTAATTTTATGTAGTTGGTGAGAACACAGGCTCAAAATGTAGTTGTCCTAGACAAGTGAAATATATGAACACATTCAGAAAAAGATGGATAAATAATGCAGAACACATGATGACACTGGAAAAAAGTATGCCTTCATCTGGTTTACTGTGAGCAACTGATTCACTGTAAGAAGCTTGCCTATGTCCCTACTCAGCAAAGTGAAATCAAGGGCGCAGGTTACTCATGTGCTTAGATGTTTTTCTGGGTCAGAACTATATAGCAGATAATGAAAAGGACAACACAGAACAATGAAGATAAGATGGTTAAATAACACAAAATCTAGGATTACTTTCTAATAGCATAAAGCCTCTTTTAGCTTTGGTAGTTTGTGAGAAACAAGATCCTAAGTCTGTCACTGATCCTTCAGATTAGCCAGGTATATGTTTGTAACTGGCTCCAGATTAAATGTAGAAAATTCTAGATACCGTGTCACCCACTGCTTAGTCTCTGAATGGTGGATCTTTGCCAAATACTGCAAATAGGTGTCTGTTTAATACACCCTCTGATTGTTTGTATGCTGCCAATGAGGGTGAGAGAGATTCAGATGCTACTAAAAGAAGTGGCTCTGTGATTCAGGACTAATGGGGAAACTGATGCCTTTTGAGTTCTTTTCCTGCAGGTTTTGCTGTCCACTGAATGCTGAAAAGAAGTTGGTAGGAAAGCCATATGCCCCTTTGTTGGCTGTACCAGTTGACATGTTTTCTCACATCACAGACTGTGAACTGGTACTGCTCCTCTCCCACTGATCTACGCTCACACGAGTCAGGACTTGGAACTTTAATAGTGTAGGAAAATGTAAGAAAAAAAAGTCCAGAAAGCTGGAATGAGGTGGCTGTGACTTAAGTTAATCTCTGGAAAAAATGTTAAAATTATTGAATTAAAATTTAATCTCTTTTGGACAGTATTTCTGTTCAGCATGCCACACTGTGGTGTTCCTTGTACATCCCATGAGGTGGCAAACTAGAAGACAATGAGATTGACAATGAGATTTTTTGTATGAACTGACCCTCTGTAGCCATTTCCTCTTCTCCATGACAGGCAGTGAAAGTGGTCTACAAGCCTCTTCACGCTAATCTTCTGGATTTTCATGTGCAGGATTGGATAACATGATAGCTCCAAACACATAATTATAAAGGACTAAAATTAATTGTATTTAGTGCTACTCTTGTGTCATGTCAGTGAAGCAAGTAGATAATTAAAACTTTTAAAAAGTTTATGGGAATGGCTGGGAGAAGAAAACCAGAGGTGCTGTTAATTCTTCTGAAAGTGACCATTCACACAGCCTAACTACAAAATAAGTCATCCAGCATTACCCATTTTTGGAAACAGGACAGCAAACTAGGGGGACCATTATTCTGTCTGGAAATGAATGTTCCTTTGGGCTAAAATGTGAGGAAAACTAAGTTTGGAGTATCTCCCGTATTCCAGGTCTTTTACACACATTTCCTTGCCTGTTCATTGCTGATCACTGAAATTTGAAGTACCTTTCAGGCGGTTAGTGACAAGTGGCCAGTTCCTTACTGCACTCAATATAAAGCGATTAACGATATCCATTGAGAAATCTGGTCTGTTTTGTGCCTGTACTGCGGTGCCGGTTGTTCAGTAATTCATCAAAGAATGTGTCCAGTTTTTCAAAGCAGGATGCTATCACAGACTAAATAGGTGTCTGTCAGCTGAAAACTCCATTTTGTTTTGTGAAGCTTACTTTGCCTCAGTCTTCCTTTTATATTTTGGAATATTATTTTGTTATTTTGAGAACTTATAGAGTTGAGCATCCATTTTTGTAGCAGGGGAGCTTAATGCCTTATGGAAGGAGTAGCTAAGAAGCAATAGCAGAGCTGTCAACTTTGAATGGTTCTTCACTTTAGGAAGATGGATTTTCTTCAGTATGACTGTCCACACAGAATCTGACAGGAAAGAGCAACTACTGAAACATCAGAAAAGGTGGGGGCAGGCTTTTATAAGAAAAATGCTTTGTAAGAGAAATGCTAGCAAGGGGCTAGAACACAATGCCATACATGAAAGCAGAAAGGGCTACCTAGCCGGAGGATACTGACCAAACCAGGATTTGTGAGAAAGCAGGGAATTGCATTTAGAAATGTGTTGCTTTTCATAGTAGTGTTGTTTAACAGTACAGTGTCAGCAGCTAAGAAATTTATTTGCTGAACCTATGTTACCTGCTATCCTGCCAAGTTGTCTCCAAAAGGTTTAACTAGCTTTTTCAGTTATATGAATTCCAGGAAGAAAGTGTCTAAATCATGAGCTGAAGGGGGCTGGGATTTGGGGTGGCCAGGCAGCATGGTCTTGCTGCCTCAGAGGTGTCAGATGTAGTGTCTTGTCCCCAGAGTGGCCTGAGCAACCTGGAGCTAGAAATAGTGACCACTCAGTACCTGGATGCTCAGATGTTTAAATGTGGTTTAAGAGTTAGGTCTGTCTCCAGCAGACTGGTTCCAGCCCAGTCAAAGAGACGGGACAAGGTTTTAAGAGATACAGTCAGAATCCCTCTTCCACCTGCTACTAAGTCACTGATAAATGATCCTTCTATTAACCACCCTTGTGGAGATTCCTGTGTACAGTTCATGTTAGAAGATTTAGTTCCGCAGATAGTGGGGTTCACATAATGGCTGCTTGGGTTATTGTAAGAGTTGAATGGGTTTCTGCTCAAACAGGCTATATTTTTGTCAAAAGAAAATGTGGCCTGTATGAGAACAGATGATGACTATAAATTAACAGGTAAAAGGGATTTAGAAAGACTCCGCATTAATATACTGAGCTCTTGTATTAAACATCTAAGCAAGGAGTTATGTGTCTGGTCCATGGTTAGTGGGTGTGACTAAGTGACCTGGCAAAAATTAGATACCACTGGAAGTACTGACTCAAATAGCAAGGCCTTGCCTTGTATCTTTCGGGGGAAATAAATCAAGCCATGTTGTTTTCTGCGCTTAATTACTGTACACAAACTTAAAAAGCAGTGGTGCTGACTTATGTGACTCAGGGTTAAAGATTATAAAGCGTCTTGCCTAATAGCCAGGGTCTGTTCTAGCATCCTTTGCCAAAATGGCCTTGTTTTTACTGGTATGCACTGGGCTACAAGTTTTGCTGCCTCCTTCCACCCTTCAGCTGGCTTTGTGTCAGGTTTCCATGTACAGTTTGAAAAGCCCCTTGGGATATCTGGGACTGTAAAGTGCTGTAGAAATAAATATGCATTATTATATGGCAGGTGGCAGCACAACACGTCTAGCGAGCAAGCTTCAATATTGGGCATTAGGACCCAGGGGTTGCTGAGTGGAAGAGGCCAAATCTCTCTCTCTCTCTCTCTCTCTCTCTCTCTCTCTGTCATTCTCCCTGCTGCTGCAGCCTTTCTCCTCATCTCCTTCAATGGTGACTGACCACCTCCTGTGCGGACAGAGCGCCGCAGAGAGAAGGCCTCATTACCGAGTGAATCGATGGCATCTCCCAGGACTATAACCATTGTCTCTCTCTCTGTGGCCCTGGGGCTCTTTTTTGTCTTCATGGGAACCATCAAATTGACCCCAAGGCTCAGTAAAGATGCCTACAACGAGATGGTGAGTACAGCAGCTGCAGCAATGAAGGGACACAGGCTCTCAGTGGGCTGCATTTCTCTTCCCAACCTTGCAGCAGGAGCAGCCATGCAGGGAAGCATCTGCAGGCAGCAGCTGCTCTGGAGGGCGGGAGAAGGGAGGGGAGAGGGCAGCATGAAGCTAGCGCCTGGTGCTCCTTATTTGGTGGGCACAAAGAAACAGGCAAATCTCAGCTGCTGAGGTAAAATCCTGCCAGTCCATGGTCCGGATTCTATTAGAGCTCATTTTTAGAGCAGCCTGTGGTAAATAACAAGGGAGACAGTGGAGGAAGGACAGTGCAACGGGGATGGGAGAGCGGACGCCCCTCTGCAAAGGGGAGATGCTGCTCTCTGAACTGCGGGAGCTTAAAGGACTGACTGCCTGGCCTGGTACGGGGAGAAGTATTTCTGCTCCCCTGAATGGGCTTGGGCTGGGGGAGGAATCTGACTACTTGGAAAACTAGATAGTGAGCCCTTAAAGGATCTGTACCTCAAGAAGGGGATAATGATATGGGATGTGCCTGCCATCCTGGGCTGCCCAAGGATTAATGAGCGACTGTAAAGCGCTTGGACCTTTGTAGGACAAGTTCTTGTTATTCCTGTTATCTTAGGGAGTGAGGCTGGCTGTCTTTGCGTGGCATGGGGAAGGGTCTGGAAGAGGAAAGCAGAGATAAAGCACTTTACCATCTGTCTTGTCAGTGAGTTCCCTTCCCTCTTCTGCCCAGGGCCAAAGCTGCTGCAGAATTCACCTGCCAGGAGCTACAGGCAGTCAATGTAATTGTCCCCCATGTTTAACTTCATCTATCATGTCTCTATGTTCCATTCACTCTCTCTCGGTTGAAATGGCTAGAAGGGATTGCTAGGATTCTTACGATTCCTGAGAAACAATGGTGGAAGCTTCTAGCACATTCCATGCTCTCCCTTCTGTACACCTGCCCAGTGCCTTCCCCTAGCTCTCACATAACATTTGCATCCCCATGGCCTTGCCTGTACCCACACAACAATCGTCTTGAGAGAAAGGGTATGAAAAGATGGCTTGGTGACAGGAAGCAGAACACATCCAGGTGCCAGGGTTCTCAAGCTGGGATGATGTCCTTAAGTAACATTCAGGGGAAAAAAAGAGAGTTTAAACTCTAGCTGCAAAATCCTTGATTGTTATAAAAATACTTTGTTCTACTTCAGTGCCTTCCCTGCATTACAATAATTTAATTAGGTGCCAAAATATCCCTGGGTAGGAATTATCCTCATTTTACAAGAGAGGAAACAGGCTCTTAAGCACTAGACACCAAAAAGCTTGTAAGTAACATACTGTGGTAAATAATGTGCCAGTGGTTCACTAAGCCTTAATAGTTATCACCATGATGTACACTATGATGTTCTCTAGCTGTTTGGAGACAACATAGATCCTGATGCTTGATGAATATAGACCCCTGTTCCCTAATCCTAACTAATGGAGAATCAATGTTAGCTATTTACAATGCTGAAATAGGCACTTCTCATTTCATCCAGTAAAGAATATGAACACTAATGTATTGTGGCATTCAAAATAGGAAGTGAGTAGAGCATACTACTAATACGTTTCATTTTCAACCAATTTTTATTTCAACCAATTTCATTTTCAGCCAATATTTTAATGCTGCTTTGGGAGGAGGCTTCATTACCAAAGCTTTCATTTGAAACCTACATTAAACATCCTTACAATGTTGATTCAGAGCAGAAATACTAATATCTGTAAAGAACAGAAAGAATAAAAAAGAGTGGCATTTTTCTAGCTTTCAGGAAAATGTGAAACCTATCACCACTGCTCTTAGAAGGAAATAGCAAACTTTGCAAAGGAGAAAGTTACTGCCTCCTTAACTGGATTTAATTGTCGTGTTTCTCAAATACCATTGAGAACATGTATATTAACAAATTGGTTGAGTCACTGATTTGTACTGGCCATTTTGGTGAGCTCATATTAGATCTGAATGAACTGGCTTATCTCATCTGAGGCTGCCATTTTCTTACCCCTCAGAAAGTGGAAGACAGTATGAGTCCAGTGTGGCAGGAGTATATGTGGTTGCTATTCTTGTGAAACTGAAAGTAGTTTTAGGTGTGATTAGTAATGCATGGGTCTCATTGAACCTCAAAAAATGATTGAAATATACTCAAGAAGGAAATATCCCCAGTGTATCCAGGCTGGAATGGTCATGCTTGATTGCTTGTAGAGAGGAAGGGTAAATGGTTCTTAAGTGCTTCTTTCCAAGAATGTTGATTCTGGCAACTCTATTGTTTTTAAGTCCAGCATAAGCCACAGAACAAGGATAAAAAAATACCATTTTTTTGGAGAAAATGAATCATAAAGGAGGGTATGGCTGGAAAGATTTTGCTCTGGCAAGTCTACCTTAACTATACTAAGTGTGCACTGTGTATGAAACTAAAATCCTGGGAGTTTCTGGGTTTGAGAATCATGAGGCATCTTTGACTTTGCCCCTTAGCTCCCCAGGGACAAGGATGCATTATTTAGGAGCTGCTCTTTAATTATAAAGGGCATGTCAAGTTTGAAGATATATTTTTCTAACAACCCAGCTCTGGCAATATTAGCAGTAGCATCTTCAGAGCTCAGTAATTCCTTTCCTTAGAATATGTGCCAAGTGTATTCTCTCAGCCAGCTCTGACCTTGATGAACAGTTGTTGCCTTTTGTTCCTTTTTCAAAGATTTGTTTCCCAGCTAGGAAAAAGGAGACTATGAAAAGGGATCTGGAGAACTGGAGTGAATAGGAACATCATTCCAACAGGTCCCCTCCTGATGATGTTAAACATCTACCACATATATCATTCCAGGTCATACACAGTTAGTGTATCAGTCTTAGTAAGATCCTTTGTGATCGTATGGGATGAAATGTCAGGTGTATTTTACCCTCCTACCTTTTACTGTCCCACGTAAGCCATGCTATACTATTACTGTTTGATTCTAGAAACGAGCCTACAAAAGCTACGTCCGGGCTCTCCCCATGCTAAAGAAGATGGGAATCAGCTCTATCCTTCTCCGCAAGAGTATTGGTGCCCTGGAAGTGGCATGCGGCATTGTCATGACACTGGTGCCTGGTCGGCCCAAGGATGTGGCCAACTTCCTCCTGCTGCTGCTTGTCCTGGCTGTGCTCTTTTTCCACCAGTTAGTAGGTGACCCACTCAAACGCTATGCCCATGCACTAGTCTTTGGGATCCTGCTGACTTGCCGCCTACTGATAGCCCGCCAGCCTGAAGAGCAGCCACCTGAGAAGAGGATCCTGTCAGTGAATGGTGATGAGCAGCCTGTTGTCCATGAGGCAGCTCCTGAGAAAGGCAAAGTGAAGGTGTCCTAGTAGAGTGCATTTGAGGAATATGCATTTGAGGACCCATGAGGCAGCTCTCCCCAAAAACACCCAGAAAGATTTTAGTTTTTTCCTATTATGTATTTGATTTTATTTGTTGTTTAAAAGATTCCTTTCGGGAATGAGACACCCTACACTGCAGCTATTTCTGGGACCACGGTGTAGACATACCCAGAGACAGTAGGCTAAACACTAGCTTGGAGAACTGCCCTCTCCTTTATTCCCAAATACACACCGTTTTCTTTTAATTAGTTGAGGGGAAAAATGTATCATATTAAGTCTGTGTGTTATCTTCAAGGGAGGGACCCCTACTCTGAACTGCCTCTGTGACAGTCTTTCAGCAGACTGGTCTTGGAGGGGAAAAAGCATTTGTCCACATTTTGTACAGGGTCTAAAACTGTGTGAATGAACTTGGGAGTAAAACTATTTTTCCCACTTTGCATGGTTGTATGCCTTCCCCCTCTCTCAGCAGATAATAAGGATTCCTGTTGAGAAGGCATGGGTTAGCATTGTTCAAAGAATTGTTTGTGCCCAGTAATAAACCCTGGTGTTCCCAAGATGTGCCTGTTGCCCTCAAGCTGTGGTAACCTCCTCCTTCAAAAAATAAAATCCCCTTTCTTCCAACTAGTTAGAGAGATTTGACAGAATCATCCACTGTTGTAATCACAGGGCCTGAAGCTGTTCATAAACCTTATTCCCCATTCCACCCTGGGCTGCAGTGAGCTAGGGGAGTAGACCTGTCTCAGGAGCCTGATTCTTTGTGTTATACTGAAAACACTATGAATGGCTACACAGGAGAGCATTTTATGTTTTAATTCTGTTGTGTTTTTTGGTGCTTGTCCATGTTTCCCCTTTGGTTTTCTTAATCATTCACGAAATAAACTTTTTGAAATTTGGAGGAAAATGTTGTAGCAGAGGCTAATTCTTCTCTTGACTCAAGGACACATCTGCTCTGCCCAGGACTCTCCCATACAGTTAGGATCGTGGGTAGGGAAGTTCAGTTCTCAAAAATATCAGGTAATGTCTGGTGGCGAATAAACCACCCAGCAGCATCACGGGGCCCAGAGCCACTCGCTGCCAAGCCAAACGAAGCAACAGCAGCGGAGCTTTCGTTGCAAGGTCCCCGCGCGGGCAGTCAGGAAGGCAAAGTTAGCAGCACCTCCACCAAGGGGCAGGCACGGAGCCCGCAACCCCGCGCCAGTTCGCACCCGTCCTCCAGCGGCACGGCTTGGGCCCTCGTCCGAGCCTGGCGGGGTGGAGCATCCCTCCCGCGGCAGGGGCTCTTTGCCCTGCAGACGGGCTCCGGGCAGGACGCCAACCCCGCGCCCCTCGCAGCCGCCCAAAGCGCTGCCCGCTACTTAGGGTGGCCCATGTCTCTTGCCCTGCCCTGAAGTTGCCCACGGCTCTGCCCGAGGCGGGACCCCGGGGCCTACAGGGCGGGACTAGCGCGAGCCACAGCGAAACAGGATCAGCCTCCTAACGACCTCCACCCGCCAGTGGGAGCCCGCGGCCTGAGCCGGATGCACCAACTTCTCTTCCCTCCCCAGCGCCCACACTGACCACCCTCCCCGCAGAACTGAGTATGCGCGGGGCCCAGAACCTGCCCTTAACGGCCCCAATGCACATGCGTAGAAGCGACCCGCGTTCCTCTGACTGTCCTCCCTGGTCTCGGGCAGAGACGGCGCATGCTCACAACCAACCGTGATGCCATAAGCCCTTCGTCACGGTCCCGGCCAATCCCCGAGAGCGGGACGCGCATGCGCGGGGCGTGGCGCGGAGGTTTGAATTGCCGGGCGGTTAGGAGCTGAGAAGTAGCTGGATCGGACTGCCAGTCCCAGCGCTGCGGCTCCGGGCTGGCGGATGAGGGCGACCGCGCTCC